AGGGCAGATTGGGTCTACATTTTCTTAAGCGAGGGAAAAAAGAATCAGTGAGGAGTCCCTAACTCCTTCAAGTTCCTGATCCCATTTTTCACCTGTAGGAAATGTTCAGTCAGTGTTTCTAATCAAAAGAAAACCCTTCCCTTTCTTCTCCCTCTGTCCCAAATATCTGCTGTTATATCTATCCTGACTTGAGCAATGTGTCTGAACGATCTCAGTGGACAGGTGGTCAGTGAATTCACACTAGGGAGTAGTAGGTTCCATATGAAAAATAGTGACTGTAGCAGTGACCTGCTGTTCTGGCTTGGTCACCATTAAGCTAACCTCAAAACGCAATGGAGACCACATAAATCCTTTGGGGCAGGGAGTTTTGCTCTGTTTCACATCACCCTATAGCAGGACTATTGCTTGCAGATGTTTTTGCAGAGCATACAATGCCAGTTGGACAAAAATCTGCATTTAAGAAGTAGTTGTTCTGTGAAAATCTTGAACAAAGGGTTGAATTTATCTTTCCTAAAGATCATGAAGTAGACCTCCAACCAGACTCACCTCTTGTAAAATGTGGGAACAGACAGGGTATTTAGGTAATTGCAGAGCTGAAGGACATGCTGCTAACTGAGATGCAAAAGAGGAATAAACAATGACTTAATGCCATTCCTGTTCCACAGAGAGCCATAAATATGAGGAGAAAGTTGCTGAGCAAGGCACTAATGCAGCAAGTGGTAGAAATGAATCAAGAGGTAGTGCCACTTTTATAGGGTGAAAAGGATTCAGGAACAGACTGACCGAGCAAAAAAATGGGGCTGGGATCAATTGAACTGGAACAGCCTTTTTGGAATAAGTGGCCATTCCCAGTGCAGCCAAGCACTATTAGTGAAGAGGAGTCATCTTTAATATGGAGGGGATGAACCGTGTGAAGAGTCTTGTGTAGTCTATGATTTTGCAAAGCTGTGGTGATCTAGGTACCAAACAGGGATGCCAGTAAGCAGACACCTGAAAGTGAGCAAAATCGAGCAGAAACCATTGCAGCCCAAATTAAGGTTGCAAGCAGTACACAGAAACTAAGTGGGAAGCAAAGGTGACTTCAAAAACTGTAGTTGGTGGACCCCCTCTTTTCTGGATCTGACCATGGGGGCTGGGTGAAAAAGTGATTTTGAGCTTGTATGAAATTTTTCATCTGAATCAGGATGAAAATTAAACATCAGAAAGTGATGAGGGAACTAACAAGCTTCACTGTGTAGACCTGCCAAAACACTGCATTTAAACTGTGGTTAATTTCAATCTTCAACTTTCTATTTTGCAAATCTTTTCAGTATGAGTTAACTAAAATTGGGAAAATAACTTGCAGATTTTTCCATATAGAAACCGTCAAAAACTGAGTATGTTAGGCATTTTCAAAATTGACTTAAAAGCACTTTAAATTGAGGGGTTTGGTGTCTTGGGCATATTTTTAATTTAGACTCTCGCAGTGCAGGATACAATTTTTGACAGCTTTTCATTTTCTGACCATACCCCAGGACTGTTTCACTGCAGAATTTCCCAGCTATCGCTGCTGGCTGTTGTACTGCAACAGACTCTGCCAACAGCCCGGGTTCCACAGCACGCAGGACTCTCGTTCAATACCCACCTGACCTGGCCGTGCCCTCTGGAACAGGTGCCAGCTGGGCATCTCTCTATGCCAGGGCTATTTTGGGTGGGCAGAGCTGCCAAGGCAGCATGAAAAGGGCTTTGTCAGTAGGAACACATGAGCCTGGTTCTTCGTTGTCGAACACCTGAATAGATATTTCTACCACCAAACACGGGTGTAAAATGACACGGTGTGCACTGCCCTGCTTAAGGCAAACAGCAACTAAACCAATGCCTTCATTTTCTTTTCTTTCTGTCCCAGGCAGATAAAGGCATGACTACTGGTTTATTCCTGGTTTGGTCATTGGTACCTGTCCTAAATAAGTGGGAATATTTCACTTGCATCACTGGTAGCATTTTTCTCTCCCGTTCCCCAGGTTTGAGTGACTTTACAAGGTGCATGGCGGGACAGGGAAGAATGAATGAATGTTCACACAGCCTGTCAGATTATCCTTTCCTTTCCTCTCACCGGCGAGGGAGTACCAAAGCCAGACAGAGCTGGCTGTGTCAGTGATATGCAACCTCACAGCCCAGCCAAGTACAAATAACCCGTTTGTGTCGCTCTTGAGAGGTTTCTGAGGATTATTCTCTGAAGAAGTGAAACCTAATGACCTGGGAAAGTGTGTGGTGTGGGGGAAACAGGTCCCTGCCAGGTGGAGGTGGCTGCAGCCAGGCCCTGGGGGGTCTGGAGAAATCTGTCAAAGGCAGCTTCCCTTCCTAAATCCTGCCAAGGAGAAGGACTTCTGAGCACAGTGATGTTTCACCAGCTTTTGGATACCATCGTAAGGTTTTTCCACCTGTTTTAAAACTGAGACATCACATCCAACACAAATTCACCCTGTTTAAAATGCACACCTGAAAGGGGAAGAGGAGCCCTGCCATTGTGGAGTGTGACACTGCTGCAAAGCACCGGGTGCCTGCGTGATGCTTGCTGTTCCATGACGTTACCCTCTGGGCTTGGGAAGGAGCAAAGAATTAATGGGACCAGGGGGACAGGAGAGTAACAGTGTATGAGAAATCCAGGTTCCCCAGCAGTGTTTGGGGTGCAAACCGAGTCACTCCTGACCTAGCTATGCTGTCAGTAGGGAGGTCATGGGGGGAACACCCGGACCCTGATGGCACTCCCAGGCTCTGTAGCATCATTTGCACAGCTGGAGATCTCTGTGCCTTCCCTTCCCTGGGGACCCCATGGATTTGCATATATAAGGTAAAGGAGAGTTACCTATCCCAGTGTCTCAGAAGGGTGGATTTTGCTCTGAGGGAGTCACAAGAGCACAAACATAAGCTGGTAACAACAGAATCACAGGACTTGGAGATAAAATCCTACCTCAAGGCAGGATCATCGACATAACTGCACGTACATCCTTCCTGAGAGGCACTCACTCTTGCCCGTAGTTAAAAACCACAACTTGTGAAGACTGATGTTTTCCCAGGTGATCTGTACCATATCTCCACTGTTCCTTACTATTAGAAAGCCTGCAACAAATGTCTAGCCTGAATTTTCCTTGCTACAATTTAAACTCATTGCTCATCATATCCACCAAAGAAACCTGGACAGGGCAGTTCTCTCCTATTGTCTTTTCATCAGCCTCTTTCTGCTTCTGAAGTGTTATTGTGCTTCTCTTCAGTCTCTTCTTCCTGAGACTAAATGCCATTTTATTCAATCTTACATCATAAATCATGTTTTCACAAAGCGGGACATATTTTTTACTTCATTTTTCCTATTTCTCAATTAGTCTCTTTTTCCTCATCTTCTCTCTACCTGATACTTTATCTGTCCCCAGCCTTTTACCATAATCTGATCCTACCCTTAATTATTTTCTCTTCTATCAATTTCACAACTTTAGACAGGGTTTGTTCTGGAATTTGGGTTTCTTCTTATTCTGATTTGCCTTCCTGCTTTTGCAAAGGATGACCTTAAACTCTTGAAACATTGTCAGTCTCCCTGGTTGGAGGAGAAGCACGGACTGGGAACAACTTTGCCAGTCAGGAGCTCCTGAACTGTAGCTTTGGCTTAGCAGCAGCTTCTCTTCAGTACAGCCCCAGGCAAGGCAGCCAACCTTGCTCCTGCTATGAGTTCCTTGAGGGCTTGTGTGATTTTTAAAATTAGGGTAATTTATTGCAAGAAATAGGGAAAAAAAACCCCAACCCCTAGCACTAGTCTGAAAATTTGAGCTAGTTTTGGCTAAGTGTCAAGGTCTCCTAAGCAGCTCACATTTTTCTGGTCACAGGCAGTCTTTAATATCACTTTAAAGAACCATTCCAGAAAGGGAAGGTTCATGTATAATTAGTGCCCACAAGCATCAAGGCTGTCATAAGGCTGAGGGATATAAAGATGAAAAAAATTAGGTTGTGTTATGTGTCTCGCATCCACAAACCAGTATTGTCAGACTTAATACTGAAGAGGCTTTCTGAGCTGAGGGCTGTCAGAGCCTGTTGGCTTTTCTGTTTGTGGTGGTTTTAATGTCTTTGTGCCAAACGCAGCTCGTGGGTGTATTGCCCAGTATTGGGCCTAAACAAATGCACTGTCTTACGAACCCGTGTGTTGGATTCATCAGCCACAGTGCCACATGTTTGAAAGGCAAAGTAATCTCGGGATCTTTATTTATGTAACTAATTACAAGATAATGAATTCTTATTAAAAAAAAAAAAAATCCTATCCCTTTTGTTCATTAACAAAATACTGTGTAAGAAAACTCCGGGTCTGGATATTTTTCTGTTCAGTGCAAAGGACAGATTGT